TCACAACGAAAGATTTTGCCCCTTTGCTGCAGCAAGCTCGGGTTAAAACATTGGCATGGGGTGTTAGACACCTATCTATGGCAGGTAGAGTCACTTTGATAAATTCAGTTCTGATTCCCTCTTATGTTTATTTGGTGACTCATACTTTAGTTCCAAGAGGTATTTTAAATGAAGTGGAAAACATTTGCAGAAGTTTCCTTCGGGATGCTGATGCTAATCATAAAGGTATCCATTATGCATCATGGAAAATGGTTTCGAGACCAAGGAGGATGGGAGGACTTGGGTTTCATGCAAATGTTGATTGGGTTGGCCCTCTTAGAGCCAGGATTGCATGGGAGTATATCAACAAACCGTCAGGTTTGTTGCATAAGTGTATGGAGCAAAAGTATGGAGGGTGGCCATGGGTGGAGGATTTTAAACGTGGAGACTCGGCTGTATGGAAGCTCATATGTAATGGTGCCGTAAGTTTGGGCTGTTGTGTTAGATGGAAGGTGTTTAATGGAAGCAATATTGACATTCTAAACCATATTTGGATCTGGGACAGAGCTATATCGTTGTGGCCAACGTTTTGTGACATAGCAGCAGTTGAAGATCTCTCTGTGTCGGAACTGATCACACAATCTGGGGATTGGAATGTGCAAAAACTGCTGTTGTATTTTGGAGAAGCCCTTGTTGATAAAATTGTGGAAATCAAAATCTGGAAAGATATGGATGAAGATTCACTTGAGCTGATGAAAATCCCCATTGGTTCTACGGTTTCAGCTATGGTTTATAATACAGGTTCTTGGAAGAAGATGATCCAAGCTATGTAATCTTAAAAGTGGGACTAAGGCCTAGGGAGCGTTTGTTTTGGTGGAGGATTTTCAAAAACATAGTTCCTACTAATTGCTGGTTACACGCTCGGGGCTTTGAGGTTAATGTGAACTGTCCGGTTAGATGTGGTTTGTTAGAAGATTTGAGTCATATCACAATTGAGTGCAAGCAGCTATTGGAGATATTGGAAATTCTGGACGGATGGGGATTTTATACACCTCGGTTAACTTCTTTTGATGAATTGCAGATGGCGTTAGAGAGGAATGCTAATTGTAATGATACTGGTATTTATCTTTACTGTCTTACTTTTTATAACAGTTGGCTGAACAGGAATGCAATTAAGCATGAGAAGGAAAGCCATTCTCCTGTTTTTATGGCAGCTAATATACTTGAAAGCATGAATCAAAATTGTCAATTATTCCACCTGGAGCAACGGGACTCTGTTCAATCCTATGGATTGTCTTCATCCTCTTCTTGGTGTCCCCCCCCCCCCCTACAGGATGGTTGAAGATCAATTTGGATTGTGCTTTGCTTCGTTCAAATGCAGGAGGAATAGGGATGGTAATTCGGGACAGCTATGGGAAATTGATTGTGGCAGATGGTTGGAGTATAAGCCACTGGGATTCTACTCGTGTGGAGATGATGGCTTTGCATTATATTGACAAGTTACTTGAGGATAGGATGTTTGATCTTAAGGGGGTGATTATTGAGGGAGACAAAAGTGTTATCAAGTATATGCAGGATTTTAAATGTAGAGAACTATGGAAACAACAGTCTGAAGAGTGGGATAGATGGAACTGGATGAAGTTATTCCAACAAGTGGTGTTTGTGCATACTTTCAGGAGGTTTAATAGAGCAGCACACTTCTGTGCTCATAGAGCTATAGATAGATCTTTTTGTTGGGATATAGGAGAGGTTAATAATGTTATTCCTTAAGAATTTTTTGATATTCTTGAGGATGATAGTAGTTTATCTTTTGTTTAAGGGGCATGTTGCCTTTTTTACTTTACATGTTCGTATTAGTTTTTTGATGAATGCAAATGCAGAAGTTCAACTCTCTCTCTCTCTCCCTCTCCCACTTTCCCTTCTCTCTCTCTCTCTCTCTCTCTCTCTCTCTCTCTCTCTCTCTCTCTCTCTCTCTCTCTCTCTCTCTCTCCCAAACAGGACGGCCTCCCCTCGTCATCCTCATCGGAGCGGAGGTGGGAGGAGTTCTACGGAGGGAAAGGGTGCGGAGACTAGGTCGAGTCGGCGTGATGGGGGGCAAAGTAATGCTGGGAGCAGATCTGGGGACTTGATCTCGGTTTCTTCTACTGACCTTACGGGAGAGGTGAGATCTCCTTTGTCTAGGTTGAATGGCTCAGTGGAAACTGGGGCGGCCAGGAAGGAGCTGGTTTATGCTAAATCCCTGGTCAAGGCGAAGGGGACGAAGATGGAGAGCTCGGGTCTCACTGCAAATGTCACCAAGGTGGTGGCATACTCCTCCGTTATGGTGGAGGGAGGTGAAGAAGGGCCGAAGGGTCCGCTAGCTGGAAATGGGGGTGACGGACAGGGGGGTCGTCTGGTGAGTTCCACACCTGATGGTGTTACCTCTGCTCGTACTATGGATGGAAGGGAGGCGTCGGAGGTGGTTATGGCTGACCATGACATGGAGCATGAGGGCACCAGTGTGCCGGGTGCGGGAATGGAAATATTGGGGGGTCCTGAGGCGGAGGAGTTCCTGATGGAGATCAAAGCCAGCACTGAAATGGGAAATGCTATGGATGTTTCCTGTGTGATCGCGGCTGGAGCTGATGCTTTAGTTGCTGGAGGACCGAGGGGACCGCAGAGTGGGATTGTTGTGCCGACTCGTGCGGTTCTGCCCCCTATGGTGGGTATGACGGTGGATAACCCCACGGTGAAGCCTGAACTTCCAAGGTTTACGTTTGGTAAACTAAGTCGGATTCAGGATCTATGCAAGGTTGGCGAAAAGGATGCTGGATTGACTCTCGGTAGTAATGGGGAGGGGGGTAAACTACCTCCTAATTTTTGTAGTGGCCACGGCCCTACGACTGGGGGTGAGGACAAAGCGAAAGGTCCTGCTCCCTGGGATGGGCGGAATGCTGCTCTGGACGGTGGCCAACCTGAGGCTACGGTGCGCCCGCAAGGTGTTCGAGGATTGGCCTCTGCGGCTAGTCGTGGGAATCAGAACTGAGGAAGGACTGCTAGGAATGCGGATGGCAGCTCAAAACCGGTACCCAATGTCTGGAAAAAGGCCTTGCCTGTGGCCTTGAACCTCAAGGAAGATGTGAGTAACTTTCTTAGGGGAGACGGCCTGGTGAAGTTGGACCTGGACAAAGCTCGTGGAAACATCCAAAAATTAAGCCGGGCACTTGTTGGTAGCTTGCTGGGATGACGTGTACCATTCTGGGTTGTCCAGGAGGAGCTACAACGCAAATGGGGGCACCTTGGGCTTACGCAAATCACCCCTATGGGGGCGGATTTTTTCCTTTGCTGGTTTGATAATGTCGAAGCCAGGGATAATGTCCTGATCGGAGGTCTTTGGTATGTTGCTGGTCAAATCATTGGAGTTGAACAATGGAGCGCTAGTGCGGCGTCAAGCCCATCGAGGAGGTTTACATCACCGGTTTGGATCCGCCTCCCAAATTTGCCGCTTGAGTACTGGGACGAAGCCAATTTGGCAAAACTTGCTGCCGGAATTGGCGAACCGCTTTTCATGGATGAACAGACTAGAATGTGGAATCGATGTGCATTTGCACGAGTTTGTGTGCGGCTGGATCTCTCCAAGTGTCTTCCGAAGGGTGTGTGGGCTCAAGGTTTGGGGGGGAACTTCTTCCAACCAATTGAGTATGAAGGGATTCCCTTGATCTGTGTGGGCTGTGGCAAAGTTGGTCATAGGGCTGATAGTTGCAGGGAACTTCCTACACCTGTTCCTGTGGTCGCCCCCTCTAGGGAGATCCCGGAGCAATCGTGCAGTGGAAATGAAACGAATATGGTGGTCGATCGGGGTGGTGAGGCGAACCTGAACACTGGAGTCCATGAGGCTGATAGGAGGAGTGACGATGGTATTGACAAAGACCGGGGTGAATGGACCATTGTAACGAGGAGAAGGCGACCAGCTAAGACGACAGGGGGTGCCTTGCCACCTACTGTAGGTGGTGAGAAGTCCAGTATGGGACGTTGGACACCCCGGAATGTGGCTTGGAAGGAGGAAAAAAAACAGCATAAAGAGCCGGTTGTTCAGGCTGTGGAGGAGACCCCTGGTGGTAGGGACAAGGAAGGGGTTCTGATGCGACCAATACCCATGGAATGTGCTGATACCTATGGGCAGCCGGTCGGTGATCGGGGTGCTTGTGATGGTAAGGAGCGTGGTTTACTGGTGAACCCTCATGTTTTGGGTTCGGGAATCTCTCCGGGTGGCATCCCATCGGTTGGATTGGTCAGTGGGAACGGCACGGCGTCTGGTGGGGATGCTGTTCTTGGGGCCAGTGGCATTGTGCCTGAAAAGGATGCTAGCACGTCTATGCAGTTGGAAGAGATGGGGGAGACAGCTCGTCAACCCAGGAGGGAACGTCGTAATCGGGACAGGGAGATGTCTCCAGCTCAGGGTCTTGTACCCAAGGTTCTGAAGTTCTCTGCGGGCAAGGCTCAAGTGTCCAAGACAAAAGACGTGCAATCTAGAACTACCAAAGAGCGACGTGCCAAGGAGTTAAGCCATCTGGGCCCCTTACAAAATCTTCCGGGAGTCAGGAGGAACAAAGTTTCAGCCGTTAAAGTGGCTCCTACCTCGGTAGGAGAGGGAGTTAATGTCATTGATAAGTTTGTTGCTGGCAAACTGGACAAGGAGTTCGCTGCACAATGGCAGGAAATGTATTCGGAAGCTTTTTGCGGCGGGGACGCTTCCCCTTTGGTTGTTAATGTTTAACATCATCTGTTGGAATTGCCGAGGTGCCCGTAAGAAGGAGACGGGTAATTACTTACGGCACCTCATTGGGGTTCGGGATGTGAGCTTGGTGGGCCTTGTGGAGAAAAAAATCGAATCTTTTTCGAGAACGGACATTGATAGGCTGGTTGGAAGGAATTGGGACTTTTGCTTTCAGCCCTCGGTTGGGAGGTCGGGCGGCATTCTTGTGGCATGGAAATGTGCGTCGGGTGCATTCCAGGTTCTCTTCCAATCTAATCAGTGTATCATGGGGTTATACCGCGACTCTAATGCTATCTCTTGGGAAATGGCCATTGTCTATGCTGACAAGGACTGGCACGCTAGGCGTGCGGTTTGGGAGGATATTACCCAACACCACTCGGTTGACTCTCCCCTTGTGGTGGGGGGCGACTTTAACTGTATCTTATCTCAGGCGGAGAAAAAGGGCGAGCGCCCATTTAGCTACACTGCCGCTGCTGGTGAGATGGGGGAATTTATGCACACCAATGGCCTGGTTGACCCTGGCTTCACTGGCCCTGCGTTTACCTGAACGAATAATAAGGATGCTAGGAGCAGGATTTCTTCCCGGCTCGATAGATTTCTGATCAGCTCGTCGATTTTGGATGTGTTCCAGGAGCTGCGGGTTACTCACCTGACGAGGCTTGCCTCAGATCATTGCCCCATCCTGTGCTCAACAGCGGAGCAGCAACGAAGGGTTCCTTCTTTCTGGATAAAATTCGAGGATGCGTGGATTGGGTTTCCTAAGGCGTGGCAATTAGTGGCGGACAAATGGAAGGTCCAAGATACCGGTTCGGAGGCCTGTAAGCTGCAAAGGAAATGTAATAGGTCACTGAAGGCACTCTACTTCTGGAGTAAGAACAAGCTTAAGACGCTCATCCAACTCAAGGATGATTTAGACAAGGAAATCAAGGATCTGCAGGAGGTGGCGTGCTCTCCTGCGGGACTTTCGGAGGTTCAATATGAGGCATTGAGGTATAAAGTCCAATTGTTGAACTCTACCCTTGGCCGTCTTGCTGTGTGGTGGAGACAGCGTGCGAAGGTGAAATGGATTGAAGAAGGAGATGACAACACTCGCTTCTTCCACTCGATGGCCTCGGCTCGACGGAGGTCTAACTTGATCAATCAGATCAAGGACCCGGATGGTAACACTGTGTCTGAACAGGCTGATGTTATGGGGGTTATCCACAGATTTTTTGAGCAAAAATGGTGTAGTGTTCCTGTTTCGGAGATTGGGTGGCCATGCTTTGACTCTCATATGGCTATTTTGGCGGACGCTGCAGAAAGGATTGTCAGGGATGTCACGACAGAGGAGGTTTGGGCGGTTGTTCGGGAGCTTGGACCGAACCGTGCACCGGGCAGGGATGGGGTGACGGCTTCCTTCATCAAAGCATACTGGAGTATTGTTGGGGACCAAGTCACGGCGGCGTGCTTGGAATTCTTCTCGACGGGTATTATGGACCCCGGGTGGAAGGATACGGTGGTGGTTCTGCTGCCGAAAATTGACCACCCGACTCGGCCGTCCAATTTCCGGCCTATAAGTTTGTGCCAAACTTTTTATAAGATTGTTGCTAAGCTCCTGGTGAATCGGATGAAGGGCTTGCTTCCAAGCCTCATTTCGGAGGAACAGGCTGCGTTCGTTCCTGGACATTCCATTTCTGAGCATTATTTACTTTGGCAAGAGATTATGAATAAGTTTAAAGTCTCCAAATCGACTATGGGCTG